CACCATGTTGACCAGGATGGTCTCGATCTCTTGACCTCGTGATCCACCCGCCTCAGCCTCCCAAAGTGCTGGGATTACAGGCTTGAGCCACCGCGCCCGGCTTGAAGAAATGTTAAGATAACACAATTCGGGCTTATAACAATCAACTTTTTTTTTTTTTTTTAATTGAGATGGGGACTTACTCTATAGCCCAAGCTGGAGCGCAGTAACTCGGTCTAGGCTCCACTGCCTTACATTTATACCATATCTTCATGGCATTTGATCTTCATAAGCCAGTAAACATGCTCAAATACTTTCTACTCTACTGCTAACATTTAATTTTAAATAAACATTTAAATTTTAAATGAAGACTTGCAAGTAAACAGATGCCATTTGCATATAAAAAGTTCAATTAATTTACAACTTAATTTAGAAGCAAAAAGTAGAAGATACTGCTTTTTGTCATGGTTTGTATTTCCATTTTAACTTTTTTTTCTTTTCTTTTTCTTTTTTCTTTTTTTTTGAAAGGGAGTCTCACTCTGTCGCCCAGGCTGGAGTGCGGTGGCACGACCTTGGCTCACCGCAACCTCCACATACACCCCACTCTCCCCCACCCTCCACTCCTCTCCACCCCCGTTCAAGCGATCCTCCTGCCTCAGCTTCCCAAGTAGCTGGGACTACCAGCGCCCACCAACACGTCTGGCTAATTTTTGTATTTCTAGTAGAGACAGGGTTTCGCCATGTTGGCCAGGCTGGTCTCGAACTCCTGACCTCAGTTAATCCGCCCGCCTCAGCCTCCCAAAGTGCTGGGATTACTGGCTTGAGCCACCACGCTGGCCCATTTTAACTTTTTAAAGTTGCAGTTGCTACAATCAAAATAAAGCACCGAGGGCCATACTGCACCGGTCAGCATTCAAATGCAGTGGCATAATATAATCTCTAAAGAGAAGTAAAGTTGACAATGTTAGAAAACCATTTACCTAACGTGCAATCCACGTTTGAATATCAACTATCGTATTTCAACTATTTTCCAGCACACTGCTAACTTAAAGCACTTTATTAGCAACTATTTAAAGTCTCATTTTTAATATGACTTTTTAGCAGTGTTTCTAAAACCTTGAAATTTTCATCTTACTCTTTCACAATAAAAGACTACAATCGAGCTCCTACTTACAAAAAAATCCCCGTGCTCTGACTTGCTTCAGTCCTTTTTAGTCCACCAAAACTTTCCCATACGAAGCACTGCAATATCTAAAGTTAGCTACTTTCCCAAGTCACTAACACGTGGGGGCAAAACACAATCGCAACCGTGCCAGCAGGGCTGCGCTGCCAAGTTACCCCCTCCGCGCCCCCATCAGGCGAGGAGAACCTGAGGTCCCACCTCTTCCTGCCGCTCCCTTCCCAGATGCCCCTTTACGTAAATAGGCAGAGTGAATGACACCTTGGAACAAATTACCTCCGACTGACAGAGAGGGGAGGCCTGCTATTCCGCGGGCCCTGCGCCCGCTACTGCCGCCACGCGCCGCCAAGTCCCGCAGTCGCCCCTGCCCGCACCCTGCCAGTGCCCCCCGCAGAGCAGCCACAGACCTGCCTCCAGGGTTTCCAGCGGGGGCGACGGCGGACCTGTCGTGGCTGGGGACAGGTGCTGGGGAGGCTTTTTGGTCCAGGGGTTTCCCTTAGGCGGCAGCGGCGGCGGCGGCTGCCGCTTTTCCTCAGGGCCAGCTGCCGCCTGCTCCCGGGCGATCTCGGCCGGTGGATCCCGCAGCAACGGCGGCAACGGCGACGGAGGCGGCGGTGGCAGTGGTGGCGGCTCCCCGCCGAAGGGGCCCCCGGGCCCGCGCGCCTTGTGCGCCAGGTGCAGCGCCAGGGGCCTCACGGGGACAGCCGCCTGGGGCACGCTGCGTCCCAGCACCAGCGCGGGCGACGGCTCGCCCCGCGCCCCTGCGCTAGTGGCTGCCGCGGCCCTCTCCTCCCTCGCCGCCTCCTTGCCCTCACGTTCGGGCGGGGGCGGCTGATCCGCCGGCCGGTTCGCCGCGGCCAACAGCGACTCCCTCTCAGCAGTCACCGCCGGCGGATCCTCCCGAGAATGAGCGGCAGGCACCGGGGCGCGAGCAGACATGGTCCCTCTGCCCCAGCCGGGGTGGCCCCGAGGCCAGGGAGCCCGACTGCCCGTCTCTTGGCCTGGGCACCGACCGGCTCCGGCTGGGCACAGAGAACCCGACAGCCCCGCCGCCGTGGCCGCCGCCGCCGCCTGCCGAGGCCGCGCAGCGCCCGGCGTGCCGCCCCTCCCCGCACCGAACGGAGCGCCAACCGCCCGCCGGCCCCGTCCTCTCCGCGGCGCACGCCCGGAGCCCGCCACCACGCGCCGGGAGCCGCAGCCGGAAGCCGCGAGCCCTCACCTGGCGCGGGCAGCCGCTGAGGAGCAGCACGCCGGGGCCGAGGAGCTCGACCGGAGTCTGGGAAGCGCGAGCAGCCAGAGCCGGTAACTGCCCGCGGGGGCGTGGAGACGGCGAGGAGGGACGGCCCGAGAGGACGGGGCGGGGCCTCCCCGAGGAGCGTGACGTGGCCACTCGCCGGCTCCTGCCCTCGCCAGGCCTCCCGCTGGAGCTGAAGGACTCGCCCGCCCGGGTGCCGCCCGGCCCGAGGGCCTGCCCCGCCCCAGCGGCCCCCCGAGGGCGAGGGAGGACTAACGGGACGACTCCCGGCTTGCAGGCTGAGGCCGCCCGGACTGCGTGCTCAGGGGCGGGGCGCACACCGGGCCTCTGTGGCTTCTGGCAGTCTCGCGCCCTGCCCCCGCGGCGACGGCTGCCTGGGGCCTTGGGCCGGCAGCGCACTGGGCGCCAAGAGGACCTGGTGCTCGATTTGTCCTTAGGCCCTAAAGCCGGGTCGCACCTAGGCTAAGGGAGGGGACGCGGTGTCGACCCCTGGCCTGGGGCGGCTCCCGAGTGAGCTGGGTTTCCCGGCCCGGCTGCTTGGCTCCTGGTGCCCAGCGCCTCCGCCCGCTGAAAGTTGTCTCGGGGCACCGCGATCACCTGTAATGTTGAGCCACGTCCCAGATGAAAGCGGAGTTACCTCCCCGTAACTGTTTAGGAAACCTTTGCCCAGGCATTTGGCTTGGTGTGCTTCCCCGTCCCGATTCCCACCCACCAGCTGAAAGAGTTTTAGTGTTCCTGAGTAAAACAAACAATATTCCAACGGCTTTTAAAAATTTTTTGTTACCTGTTTCTTTAATTTGGGGAAATAGCACTTAATTACAAATTAACCATATTACCAATAGGTTTTTTTTCTTCCTGCAATGGATGTTAAAATAGCACAAAGACGTTTTGATAATAAATCGCATACGAGCTTTCTATTTAGCACTCACATTCACATAGAGATGATATTCGTTCATTTATGTGTATTTATGAGTCAATGTTTATGTCATGGTGCAAGGTGCCTGAGAACAGGTTCCCCGCTGACGTTTTTTCTCCGAACCCCCAACCCCATAGCTTTGTTAAATACACTATCCGTGCTCGCCTTTTGTATAGACTTGCAACCCCCATCCCCACCCCACGCCCAATAGGTCTCGCCTCAGTCACATTCAACTCGACGTTAATATTTTTTACTTACTCAAAAGCTGTATTCGGCATCAATTATTTTCCTAAGGCAAACAACCTATTCATACATAACAGCTATAAACAATAATTCTTTTCTTGTTTTCCGTGACAGTGATACCCAGTTTACCCGACCCTAAGCAACCTCCGGAACCTTGTTGCAATTAAACAGGGATTTTACTTCCACCTATATTCCCAGCCATCTTTACTAGCTCTGTTATTAGTAATACTTTGCGGGGGGTTTTTTGTTGGTCGTGGTGGTGGTAGTGGTGGGTGATTGTTGTTGCTGTTGTTTGAGATAGAGTCTTACTCTGTTGCCCAGGCTGGAGTGAAACGGCCGATCTTAGCTCACTGCAACCTGCGCTTCCTGGGTTCAAGCGATCCTCCTGCCTCAGGCTCCTGAGTAGCTGAGATTACAGGCACGTGCCACCACACCCAGCCAATTTTTGTATTTTTGGTAGAGACGGCGTTTCACCATGTTGACCAGGCTCATCTCGAACTCCTAGCCTCAAGTAATCCCCTGCCTCAGCCTCCCAAGGTGCTGGGATTACAGGCTTGAGCCACCACGCTCAGTCTCACACCTCTGTAAAGGGTTCTTTTAATAATAAACTAAAAATTACAAAATTTGAGCATTGCGTCTGATTTTAGTCCCATCTGACTGACCCAATTTGCTGTTATTAACTTCTATTTTGTTACTTCTTTCTGCCTCTGCAGCTACGTGCCAGACTCTTCGTCTGTTTCTTAGTTCAAAATCAAGGATAAAAGACTGCTTGACCCTACTTATTTTTTCCAGCCAGATTATACAAGTCATTAGACAATCTGTGGATTGTCTGACCTTGGGTAGGGTATTCATGTGGTCTGGTAGAACAAATTATTTGGTTCAAAACACTGCCATTGGCCAGGCGGGGTGGCTCACGCCTGTAATCCCAGCACTTTGGGAGGCTGAGGCAGGCAGATCACAAGGTCAGCAGTTGGAGACCAGCCTGGCCAACACGGTGAAACCACGTCTCTACTAAAAATACAAAAATTAGCCGGGCATGGTGGTGCCCACCTGTAGTCCCAGCTACTCAGTAGGCTGAGGCAGAAGAGTTGTTTAAACCTGGGATGTAGAGGTTGCAGTGAGGTGAGAGTGTGCCCCTGCACTCTAGCCTGGGCTACAGAGCAAGACTCGATCTAAAAAAAAAAAACAAAAAACACGCAAAAAAACTGCCGTCTGGGCTGGCGCAGTGACTCACCCCTGTAATCCCAGCGTTTTGTTAAACCGAGGCAGGTGTATCAGTTGCAGTCAGGAGTTTGAGCCTAGCCTGACCAAGATGGTGAAACTGTCTCTACTGCCTGGCATGGTGGCACTTGCCTGTAGTCCCAGCTACAGGAGGCTGAAGTGGGAGGATCACTAGAGCCCAGGAGTTCTGGTCTGTAGTGCGCTATGCCTATTGGATGTTCCAGCTAAGTTCAGTATCAATATGGTGACCTCCTGGAAGCGGGGTACCACCAGGTTGCCTAATGAGGGGTGAACCAGCCCAGGTCTGAAACGAAGCAGGTCACATCTCCGGTGCTGATCAGTAGTAGGATCGGGCCTGTGAATAGCCACTGCATTCCAGCCTGGGAAACATGTAGCAAGACCCCATCTCTAAAAAAAAAAAAAGAAAAGAAAAGAAAGGAAAAGAAAAGGAAAAAGGAAAGAAAGAAAGAAACTGTCTCTACCGAAAATACAAAACTTAGCTGGGCATGGTGATGGATGCCTGTAATCCCAGCTACTCGGGAGGTTGAGGCAGGACAGTCTCTTGAA